GGCTGCTTCCGCGAAGGTTTTTCGGAGTTTTTCGGCTGAATCTTGGGATCTGCTTCTGCGAAAGGGCTTCGAAGACTACGCAGGGATTTCCGCACACGCTCATGAGCTTCCGCAAATCCTTGCGCGAAGAGCTTGCTTCCGCGGACCTTCCGCGCACACAGAAAAACCTCGTTTTCGGACCAAGATTTGATGAGTTTCTGTGTTGCGCACTTGTAATTGATCTACCGTAAAAAACTGCTGCTCATATGTACATGTACTATAATAAACTATAGTATATTATAGTATACTCCAATATACTATAGCATACTATAATATAATATGCTATAATATACTGCAGCGGCTGTTCCTTCTTAGTTGCTGATGCTGCAAACAAGGGACCCCGCATGTGTCTTGTATTTCGCACGGCCGGCTGAAAGTGTGGCTGCAAACCGCTGGCTGAAGCTGTGAACAGTCATGCCAACCCTGTGTGTCAGATCGAAAAGGATTCAAACATCTTCCCTAAACCCTAAAAAGGCCGGCAAAGCTGTCTCGACGTCTGGCAGCTCTGCTGAATGTCTTGGCTCTTCACTCTGCCAGCAATAGACTATTGTGCTGACCTGCTCTCTATCGAAATCCTTGTGCAACCCCTCTCACCTTTCATCAGAGGGGTCATCAAGTGGTCCTGAAAACAACAGTTTTCGGCTTTGCTCCCAGCATTGAAGTAGGATTTGTTTGCAGATTCTGCCACAAACCTTGACCAATTCCTAACAATTGTATGTGTATGGCTTCGCATGTGAGTCGTATAGTCATGGCTACGTTCATTACCTCAGGCCTGCAAATACTATTCAGAGCCGGCAGAACCCGGAGAAGAATTGCTTACAAAAGTCGTTCCATGGACTCGAACACATTTCAGAGTGGTCGGGTCGAAACAACGATTTGCGCGCACTTTGCCTGCACACAGACCAGCCATCCAGCACATTATACGGTTTATAGTATATGAGGTATATTGAGGTTATATTGGGGCTTTATTGAGATAATGGAAAATAAAATAGAAACTACTATAGTATATACACCTGGCCTCTATGTGCACAACCTTCGCTTCGCACTCGAGAGCTGCAAGGTCGAAGACCATGCGTCGGGCCACTTGACCCATGCTCGCAAAGAGATGTGATGCGGCTGCCGCACCTGATCATGGAACTCTTGCCCACCAGCAGGCTATAGCCACAGTCCGTACTAAGCGTACTGCACACCGAAGCAGCTCAAAGCAACTTCCGGCCTGGTATGACTTTGGCTCTCGCATTATCCTGCTCGACACACTTTACGGCGTTGTGGAACGGCCTGCGCTTCTGAAGTTCCGACGCCGCAAACGTTTGGAAGACGGCAACTGTTGTTCAGGGCCCGTCCTTTTAGTTGTTTGTTGGTTGACGGTTGGTAAGACATCGGATAGAACAGCTGTAGAATGACCAAGGTTGTATCTGAGGCACAAGGAGAGCTGGAGAAAGATGCGTGATGCGGAGGGCCCTTCGTGAAGGTCACAAGGCAACTCCAGCAGCCTGATGAGCACTTGAGTTTGCTAAACTGCTTAACCCTAAACAGGCTTGCGTGAATTCGCTTGCCAAATCCTCACGCTGTTTTTGCAAGCAGAGACAGAAAACATCTTCCGCAACAGTCGCAACAGGTGCTGCTGCATGAAACAACCATGCAAGCTCATTCCTGCCCGACAATTCACAGGATCAAGCACTGAGTTTTCTGGCTGTTCGGTAGTTTGCATACTTTTGGCTACCCAATTACACCCCAAAATTCTACAGCGGCTCCCAACAAGGGTACCACCCCTACCCTGCCGCCATTTTTGGGAACCCCCAACCATATTATGATGCAGAGACCACACAACAACTGCAGCCTCGTGCCCTCCGCGACAAGGGCAATCGCCATTTCATACTCGGACAGAGTCTGGCTCCTTAGCTCTTCTTTCCGTCTTGCCTCCTGCGTTAGGAGCTAGTACTGGGTAGGCCTTTGTCGCCATGGACTGCGCCCTATAGACCCTAAGTGGTCCAAGCAGTCTTCCCTGATTTGGGCCTCATCTGGGTTGGTGTTAGGGATCTTAAATCAAGTTACCATAATGGGTATATATAGTGATTACTATGGTTTCCCCAATATAGAAACTTGAATAAGTTCCCTACGTCCCTACATTCCCCAAGTTTCCATTTCATTTTCCGTGTTCTTTTCCATTTGATTCTCGATTATAGGAGTTAAGTTCCTTACCAACAACTCAGTCATAGCCAAGCTGCCCGCATTCGAATTCCTTCTCGAAAAGAGTCCTCTAGGCTGGTATTGCGCAATCTTGTAGCTGCTCTGGTGGCAGTCTTGCAGGAGACAAGAATAAGGGAACATATAATATAGGGATTCTATAAGAATTATACATGACAATTATTCCCTACTAAGATACCCTAAACCCTAAACCCTAATCCCAATCTTAAATAGAATTGCCTCCCCCGAGCTCCTCCAAGGTTCCGGTACTTTCCGTAAGCCTCCCGAGGTGGCTACCGCGAAGCTGTCCTCTGTTGCATGATAAGGGAGTTTCCCAAAATTAGGGGTTTTGGGGTCTATATTGGGTTCCCCCTATTTTGGGAAACTACCGCGACAACTTACAGTACGACGTGGCTCTTTGCACAGCATGTTGCACGAGGCTGGACGCAAGTGCAGACAAAGAGCTGGATGAACACCATGATCTCTCCATATGCTTGCGAAGCAAAGCTGAAATGCAGCGAACGCACTGGCTTTCAAATAATCTGGGCATTCAGCCTGCCCCAAGAGCACGTCACTTAGAGCCCCGAAATCAACAGCCACGGGCATCATCTCTGCCACAGCTTTGACCGCAGTCAGATATGTAGATCCGAGAGAGCCGCTTACCTGTCACGGCTGCGATGCAAAGAGGTTTATATATATGTGTATTATGTATTGGGCTAATGGAGAACACAATGGAAACTACCATAATGGTTTATATAAGGATTATAGGGTAGATATTGGCGTTATTTTGAATTGTGAATTGAATTGGCGTTATATTGGGATAATGGAAAATAAAATGGAAACCTTGCGTAGTTTCCACTCAAAAGATAATTAAGAGCACGGAGATTCTGTAATGTTGACCTAACAGCAGTAGACCTGGGATCCTACAACGCTCCATGACTAGTTGCACACTGCAATCTTCGAAGGCCTAAAAAAAATGGAGCGCAATCTGGCCTAGATTCCCTAATTGCGCTGTGGGGCTTGCTGGCAGTACTTATGGCGGTGAAGTCCAACATGAGGCGAACATTAGGGCAGGACGCAAATGCAGAATTTATGCTTGTATGGTGTTCACTTGCCGAGCTACTTTCTGGGTGAGGGACTGGCATTCGCACCACTTCTTTTCTTAAAGAGTCGATGCTTCCCAAAGAATGGCCTCCCGAATGGCAGACTGTGTAGGCAGATCGGCGCTTAGTACCAAGACGAAAGCCACCCGATGCCGGACTTCTTGTTGTGTATTCGGAGACTCCTACAGTCGTCAAGTCAGCAGCTTCCAACGACAAGCACATGCCGAGTATGCAGGGGTGGCAGTTGGGAACGGACTCAGAACAACCCTGATAACTACACTAATCAACCTACGGAGCGGATCATGATGCATCTACACGCAACTGGCTAAATGCAACTGCGGCACTGAAGAAGCCAAGACAGCTGCGCCAATTGTCCCAGCAAAGCCGAAGGAGTTGCAGCAGGCTGCAAGTGGGCCCTGGGCTCTCCCTTTAATAGTAGAAATAATATTAATACAGAACTATAATAGTACTAAAAGTACTAGTAATAAGATAGAAACAATAATAATACTAGTATTGAAATAGTACTCTAATTCCGAGCATCAACTTTTGCTGATAGCATCTGGGAGCTACAGGCGTGTTTATTGGACAAACCATCAAGCCCCGTGAAGCACTTCTTGAGCTCCAACCAAGAACGTTTTGTGACATGCTTGCATGTCAGACTGCGTGTGTCAATGGAGTTGTCTCCACAGGGAACTGCAGGCCAACTGCATCACCCGCACCTCAAGCAGCAAGGATGAGGCTCAGTGGGGAGGTGTTCATAGGACCAGAACGCAGATCAAATTGAGAAGACAACGAACAATTACATGGAAGTTTGCTCGGGTTGGAGGTATCCCAAAATTGAAATATGGGGCAGCCAGTGCTTTTACTCTGCAGGAAAAGCCGTTGACACGCGGAAAGGAAAGCAGACCAGGCCTGCGATGTATGGGCTCAGCTGTTTCAGCTCTGCATTTCCGGCTGCTACACGGCGTTTGAATACAGCCAGAACCTCGGCTGAAGTAAAGGTTCAAAGTCATTTCCGACAAGCAGCTGAGGCCAACTGACACATAAGACTGAAAACTCAATGGTCTAGCGCCAGCCCATGGGTGCTGATAAGCTCTGAAGACTGTCGCTTATCGAGGCTGGCGAAACTCAGCAAGCATGGCACCCGAACACTGAAAGCAGCCTCTTCCAGATGATGTCTGCTCACATCCGAAGCACGCATCTCAAGTATCAAAGCAGCTTTACAGCAAGCATGTCATTTGGTTGCCGAAGCAGTTGCATATGCAAACTTTCATCCCTTAGCGGAAGCCATGATGACAATGGAGACTGTGAGAGTGAAGATCGGAGAAGCACCAGAATTGGAGAACGGCACATAAAAGGGACAACCGCAATCATGAGCATGATGCTGACAGGCAGCGATCGCCCGCACTCGATTAAGACCGGCTGTACACATGTCTAGATCCAAATTCCAGGCTTCCCACATCAAATCGCTTGGGAGCTGAGCACCCTGAACCAAGACTGAACCAAGACGACCTCCTGGCCAAGGAACAGCCAAAAGTCCCGCCATTCCAGCGGATGCTTCAAGGTGACCTAGATTGGCCTTGTTGCAGCTCAGATGTGCATTTTCTAAACTGCGAGCAGCATAAGTAGCCGAGATACCTTTGCAGAGCCAACCAGCACTGGATTTGACTTTCGTTTGCGCCAAATACCAAAGATATCCTCCACTCATTTCCACTTCACATGTGATCAAAACGGGTCAGACAAAAATGGCAGCACGTCAAGTTACGCAAGGTGTTCAATCCTGCAGCGCATGTGCTTCAGTGGCATCACCGATTATCGTGCCAGTGCCATGTGCTTCAACCTTGGATCGTTAATCACCAACGAAATCAGCTTAAACTGTGACGTGCATGCAGTGAGAGATTGCATTGTACATCTTGGAGCTGCAGCTGCGTGGCATAGGTGATCTCACTGAAGCTAATGTCTGAAGAATTTATGCACTGGTACACGAGGTCTGCTTCTGCTTTGCGCTCTGGAAACCTTGCAACAACATATGCAGAGCAGACCGCACAAAATGTTGCAATCATAAAGGTGCTTACCAAGCTGACACTTGTAGCCGCAGCAATCATGTCCTGTCTGTCCTACAAGTTGCTGTTTGCAGCCATGACAACATCATCCGGCAGTAAGATGAGCCCACAAGAGGTCCCTTTAAGCACTTCTGATCTTGCTCTCTGAACAATATGCTTCCAATGGCAAGGGGCGTCAGGTGCGAAGTCTTGCCATTGTGCTTCACCATGGTGTTGCAGAGCTCGCCTTGTCTGAAGCCATAGTCAGCGAAAACTAAGGACATGCAACAATAATGGAGAATCAAATGGACCTTTGAAGACGCGCAGGAACATAATCTGGCTTGAGGGGTGAAAGCACATGGCATGCATGACAACTCCGGATACAGTGACTGACTATAGTGGATAAGATTTGTGGTTCAGGGGCGTGGTAGCGGGTGCAGGAGGCGGAGGACGGTGGGATGAGGAAGGCACGAAAAGGTGCATGTGAAGTAGCAATGAAAGAGACTATCACTATACTACTACTATTATTACTACTCTTTTTCCCTTATTACTATTATTACTACTAATATCTTTGGAGGCACTTCATGACATCAGGATAGCCACGAGGCGTGGCTGACAATGATCGAGGGGGATAGTAAAATGGTGATGCCTGTGGCATCGATGCTGATGCCAACGATCAGGATTGAGAAGGACGCCGACCATAATATGTCATGCTATGATGATAACGCCCATGATGATCATGATGACGATGCGACGACAACGACAACAATGGCCACGAAGACGACTATTTTGATGATTGTTGTATGATGATGGTGATGACGTGTGATCATGATGATGATGATGATGCTGATGATGATGCTGATGATTATGACGATGATGACGATGATGATGATGATGATGATCACGATCACGATGACGATGCTCATCATGATTCTGGTGATTTCGAGATGACGCGGAGTGTGAGGATGGCAGAAAAATCTTGAATGTAGACAGCAGAAATCAATGTGAGGTGACAGAAGACGCTGAGGCTGATGCTGTGATAGTGATAGACGGGACTTGTAAACATTGACGTTGCGAGGTTTGATGAATGCTTCCGCTTGCCCTGTTAAGCAATTGACTCGGACCGGTCCAACGTTGATAGCGGTAAGTATGATGATGATGGTGATGATGATGATGAGGAGGAGGAGGACGACGACAACGAACGACGAGAAGCCAACAACGAGACTGACACTAAGGGTGATGGAGGACCTTGCGGATGCTGGCTAGGATCACGACTGCTACTAGTGATGATGGCAATGGTGGTAACGACCTGTGCGATAGACGCCTGATGTATGTGACGCAAGGATTGAAGATGGCACATAGGTATGTAATGTACTATGATTTACTATAATATACTATAACATACTTGGCCACATGATGCTGAAGCTGCGGGCAGTGAGGTAGTGATGATGCTTCCATGAGACCCCACAGCCTGACTTCATCTCCCTGCCTTCCTCCCCATACAATCCAAACTTTCCTGTGAAGCTTTGAAATCCAGCAATTCCGCCACCCTGTGATTGATTCTGAGTCGACCTTTTCTGGATCTGATCTGTCATTACTGCTGCTTGAACCCAGCCGTAGCTCCAATACCTTGGGCGATGCTTTTTGCGGCGAGGTTGCCCAAGGACTCTGCAGACCCATCAGGCTCAGAGACCTGTTGGCACTATCCCCGGCAGCATGCTCAAGGATCCTTTCCCATGCTGGAAGCAACTTCATACAATGTCTTGGTAGTCCAAGCGACCAAGAAAAGTGAGGCTGAACCTTCCCCTCGTACGAAGCCTTGGTGAAGAATTTGTCTCAGCTGAGAGCAGAGCAGCATGTTGTCCTAACTTCTCGGAGGGGCCATCTGCGGAAGAGTCCCAGGTGTGGCATCGCCCGGTCTTTGAGAGCAGACCGCTGGGTGCCTAGCAAAAGACTTTTGCTTCCTGCCAAGACAATGCTCCTGATGCGTGAGCCGTCGGGCGCACCATAGAGAGGCTCACAGCCATACTCGTAAGGTGGTTCACCGAGGCGGCAATCGCTGATTTGCACCGGCTGCTCCTCACCAGGTGAAAGGACCTGATGCGCTACATGTGGGCAGATGACATGTTGGTGAATGCTTCATCCAAGAATTTCCGTGACTCAGCAACATGCAATTTGAGAGGGGGGATGCGTGCAACAGGCAAGACAAGAAACTCATGAACAGCCACCATTGAAGACGCGCATGCAGCGTCCACGCAGAAAGTCGACCCGCGCAGGTCCAGCAGCTGACTGACTCTCCTCAAACAAGTCGGAGCATGATGTTCAAATTCAAGACGGCATGCCGTGTTGTCACGTTTTTAACTTGCGCGGCGAGGGCTCCCTGCAATGGCTGACAATGCTTTGTACGCGCGGATGTGAGGTGGAACGCCATTGACTCCACGAAAGTGACTGTAGAAGTCAATCTCGGCATCGGCATGGTTGACGGCAACCACTACGGGCACGTCCTGGAACTTAGCTCTGTGCAGCACTTCTGCACAGCATGGCTCCAAACATTTGCTTCGCACTCACACAAGTCCTTGCCGGATAGGCTTTGCACCTTGACACCAGAGTTAGTGATGGCTTCGTAGGCACCTTCATCAGCCCAATTGATTGCAATGCAGATCGATGCAGATGCCACATCGACCGTGCAGCACATCAGAAGCATGGACCTTCGAGAACGGCCAGCTGCTGAGGATCCATCTCACCAGCTTCAAGAAATGAGAGGCCAAACAGAGTCCGGTCCTAAAAAGCAAACTCAAGCTTCGCAGGCTTCGCAGGCTTCTCAGGGTGGTCATGCCTCCAATTCGCACCCACATGCATCCGCGTGTCAACCAACTCCTTCCCTTCAATGAAGCCAGCATATGCGATCTCTGGGTGCCTGGGGCAGGGGCCCAAATGATGAAAAAACAGAAAAGACCGCACATGCTTCAGAAGAACTATTTGGCCCATATGGACTACAGCCAATATTTCCTACATAGTTTCATGGACGCGGGTTCCTTTTGGGGAGTATTTGATAAACTATGCTAGACTACAAGAGGGACCCCACGTCCACTGTTAAGGGTCCCTGAGTGAGCCTAATGTTGACAGTAGCTAATGTCATGGCCTGTCATTGTCCCAGTTCATGCGGCGTGTGATGCCACAGCGCTTGTGAGCCAGAAGTTGAGCAAGCGCATCCTCGTCCAGTCTGAACATCAAACGAGGGCGCTCGTCGCAAGAACCAGCCAAGCTAAACGATGTGCAGCTATGCTCTGACAATAATCCACAGAGGCTAGGGGACTTAATCAATTTGAGCGCATGGATCCAAAACGCGGAATCATTCCCCCCCCCTCCCCCCAGCTGGCTGAAGGCCTTTTCTTTTGTTTGCCATTGTCTGCCTGACACCTACCCAGTCCTTTTCCATCCTGTTGCACTCAGGCGGAGCGCGCCAAAGCGGTGACACTAGCAAATCTGAACTTAAAGCCGTGCGTCCAAATGGTTGGTGTGGCCGGGCAAGCGGCAGGAGACCCCCACGATGTGCACAGGGTCCTGACGAAACTCCCAAGCCGCCAGCCGTGCTCGAGTGCATAGCTGTGTCTCCTCCACTCTCACGTGCATGGGAGTAGCTGTACCTGCAAAACAAGCGCGCTGCTGACTCTGACAAGATCAGTCCTATAAGAGGAAAGGCCTTTGAGCAAACGTGCTGTTTTGAAATTGTCAATGGCCAAATGACCAAACCTCTGCTGGCAATGTCTTCTACAAAAAAGATCAAAAAAGAGAGTATATCGGGATCTCTCCCTCAAGCTGGCGATGGCCATGGGGTTACGATGGGTTATATGGGGATATATAGGGTTTATGTTGTGCAAGTTGGGCTTCTTTGACCAGACTTCCCCAAACCTCCCCTGTAGCCTCCAGCGGTCTTGGCCCTCGTGCTCCGCCTGGCAAGCGATGCAAGCGCGTGCAGTGTCTGGAGAGTCTGGTGGCTGGCGCATGGCTATCTACCCTATTATAATAATTTCCGTTTTCTTTTTGATTATCCCAATATACTATACTATATTATAGTATACTATCGGACATTCTAGAAGAAAATATATTACAGGACATAACAATATAATATAGTATTTTATAGTATATTATAGTATATTGTCCTATATATTTAAAATATTGTATAATACTGTGAGGGCGGCACTGGCCTGTGGGCTCCCAGGGCTCCAACTGCCGGCAAGCTGTGCAGTGGCGCAGCTCCCAAGCCCTCCACCAGCTCCTGGCCGAGCCACCACCACAGCCACTATAAAACCCTATTATTGTTACTATTCTTGTTTCTATTCTTGTTACTGTTCTTGTTACTATTTTTTGTTATTTTTATTGTTACTATTCTTGTTACTATTCTTGTTACTATTATTGTTACTATTCTTGTTACTATTCTTGTTAACAGTTCCTGTCAACTATTATCGCTACTATTATTGGACCCTATATGACCCCTATAATCCCTGTAGTTTCCATTTTCTTTTCCATTATTCCCTATACCCTATTATACCCTATACTCCCTATATAACCCACTATAGTATCATCTAGTTGCTCTTTGCCATCCTCTTCTTTTCTAATGAAACACGGGGTTCCTCTACAACTAAGGATGGCTGTGAAGTCCTCCAGCTTCCCAGCTTGAAGGACGTCGCTTACCAGAACCCTGGTGTTCAGGAATTGCGAGGCGTACACATTCATCATGTTCGCGAAGGCCATGACCTGCCCACTGCTTCAGCCACCCTAGGATGCCATCCCCCAGTCGTACAGAACCTAAGCTGTTATAATGTACCATAGTATAGTATAATATACTATAGTATAGTATAATATACTATAATATAGTATAACATAGTGCAATATGCTATAATATAGTATAAGTATAACATACTACAATATACTACTCTGGATTGCGGACCTGAAGGGATGTGAGCCCCAAAGAGGCCAAAGGAGTTGATGCATCCAACTCATCAACGCCCAGCACGTGAAGCAGCTTCCTGACATGTCGCAGGCTTGCTCGGTTTCCGCTGATTCCGACTCCGATCATGACTTGAGGCGTTCCTGAACAAATGCACCTGCAAAAAAGTGCCGGGATTAATCTATACATATACCTATGCATCTTGTATAATTTGCATGATGTGTGTACATATGTATATGTACGCATATCATATATCTCTATCAATACACAGTCCGGGAACGTGATTACCATGGTCACGCCCAGCTTCGTAGCTAAGGCAACCCACCACTGGTGAGACCTCGGCTTGGAAAAAAAATGCTAAACTTACTGGCGGTTCGTAGGCAATAAGCGAAAATCAACCCCACATGCCGTACGTCATCAGTCCCTATATAATCCCTACAGAATAGAATTCATTCCCTTATTTCCTACTAGCCTCCAGCAAGTACATCTTGTCCTTGGAGGGTTCATGGGTTAGTCTTTGAGGCCGCAACTTTTCCTGCTCCATGTCCTCGCCGCCGAACAGGGCCAAGTCAAGAACCTGCCCCAAGAAGGCTTGAGCGTGACCAACGCAACTTATCAGAACCCTTAACCCTAGACCCTTAAAACCTTAAATCCTAAACCCTCCCTCTTCGCTCATTGCAGCCAATCCCCCCTTCTCAGCAAGGCGCTCGATATTGAGTTTGGCCAGCATTGCGGGCCAGGGCTGCTGCTAGCTTGCGATCAATCTTGTTGGAGGACTTCGTGACCATGCTGAGCCTTGAGACTCTTACGTACAGTCACATGATGCAGAGTAGTATATTATAGTATAAAAACTATACTCTAGTATAGTATGATATACTATACAGTAGTATATCATACTATACTGTAGTATACTATATTACTGCTAACCTGTCTGAGCGGCTCCTCGCTGATCAGGTAGGCACAGAGCGGCAGCGGGAAGGACACGCCGAATCGCGATGCGTCTGCAAGCGCACGGCAGACTGCGGCCATATCCACATCTCCACTGGACTCCGGATGTCTCTTCTGAACCAGCAATGCCAAGGAGTCTGCGCCACTTTGGTCGGGCTGGCTAACCAGCACAAACCTCAAGCTGGGGAATTTCTTCTCCATCTCCTGCTCCATGCGCTCCGGGAATACCTTGTAGCCATTGATCTTCATCCTCGGATTGCATAAGTGCAATTCAAAAGCTGGTGAACCCATGGTAAACCCAGGCCCCACCGGGTGGTAACCAAGGATCATGTTGTGAACGCGTCCAACCTAAGCAGCCGTGTGCATGCCAACAACCGCCGACTGCGCAGCAGCTTTAATTTAAGTCTCCTGCGAGGAAGACATAGCCATCAACATCTTGAGTCCCAATATCGCCAGTGCGGTACCAGCGTGTTCCGTCTGCATCTGCAAAAAACGCTTTATGATTCACCTTCGACAGGTCTCTGAATCTGTGCATGGCAGAGTTAAGATAACGTGATTCACGCAATAGCGGGCCTCGTCCATTCCAGGCCCCCAGTAGCCTGCAAACAAGGACGGCCTCAGCACACTCCCAGACCCTTGCTCCCCTAAATTCTCACAGTAGAGCTGAACATGCTGAACACTTTGAAGCACATTCACTGTCTGCAGCTTGAAGATATCCAGGCCGCTGGCCCTGCTAAGCAAATCTCCTCAGCTCGTTCTCATGGCAACCGTGCCACAAGAAGTGAGCTGTAGCATCCCCCTTAATGAGCCCTAAAATACTCCCTACAAAATCCCTTATGAAACCCCCTTTGAAGGAGTGTGGATGATAGCTCAAGTGGCTTCAAAGCATCTGCCAGACGCATCCAGCTGCAGGCTGAGGGTCGCCATGGATGCCGGGAGCAACTGCACGCAGGTGCTCGTCAACGAGCCGCAAGCGAAGATGCTTGGCCGGCTTGCCCACCTCAGAAATCCAAACTACAACTTGCCCTACGTTGCTACTGACTTGTTCTGAAGGCGAAGACAATTTGCATTCAATGTGCCGTGTTGATCATGAAGTGGCATTTGCAACATGTGCCAGGAAGAAAGACTTTTTTGACCGAAGGCGCTGAGCTCGTCTTCGGAGCTCCGATGGGATTCGCGCACACCAGCTGCGTCGCCTGCCAAGTCCCGTCTGCACAGGTGGCGCAGCACACTCACTGGCAGTCCGGCACACGAAGAGACAAGCACGACACTTGCTTCAGACTGCAAAGGAAAATACGCGTCGCTTTGCACGTGCCAGCATATTGAGTGCTGAAGTCAGCAAGTCAGCAAGACCAGTAGTGACAGAGTTTCACAGAGTTGGTCTCGAGCTTGGGCTCACGAGTCAAAGCATACTGGGTAACAGCCTCTGAGCCATAAGGCCAGCTTCAGTATGAACATAAGAATAGCAATGATAATAGCAACAACAGTTAGTTATAATACTAGTAAAATCAGAATAGTATGCCATGATCCTACATCTCATCGTTGGGTTGGCCTCTCATGTAGCAGCATCTTTGAGCGGATGTTGCTCTGGACTGGCACACCTCTGTTTTCCTTTGAGGAGTAACTTCTGCTGTGATAAAGTGCACTGCAAAGGCGCGCTCTGTTGTTCAAGATGGACTTGCCGACACGAAGAATCGGAAAGGCAGCCGCTTTACGGCGGGGCGAGTAGGATTAAGCAGTAGCCACTAGCCATTCAGGAAAGGCATCGCCAATTTCCTTGAAGAAGAGAGAACGCAGCAAGCATTGCGCAGCGGACCACAAAATGGCAGCACAGCCACTGTCATCCTTGCAGAAAATTGCCACAGCCTCTGGCCAACAGGCGTCTGGAACAAGTTTACCAGGATCCAGCCTTCTCCCTCTCCTTCCCCCCCCCCTCACCAATAAAATTAAATCACTCACCCTCCTCCCCCTCTGGCCCCTTGGGTCCGTTACAAGATCCTACTACCCAATCTTTCCTGGGCCCCAGGATTCTGGCCGGGCGGCCCATTTGTTGCTTTTCCCCCACCCCCCAAAACTCTTCTTTACGTTGCAAGCCTTACTTGCGCTGCGAAGTCTTGGCCTCCTTGCCAGCTTGGCTGCCGAGGCGGACGCGCGCTAGCGCTTACAAACACAAAAAAACCAAAAAAATCCCAAGACCTCCAAAGATCAACTGCCGTCTTGGCTGCGAGGAATCAGGAAGCACGAACAACTCAAAAAGCGTGATCCCCGATCAGCCGCGGTCCATCATGCAATAATACCGAAGCTGGAATGCCAACCCATGGTGTGATGGCTGCCACAAACCAGGGTATGGACATAAATAAACCGACGCGACAGGGAAGACGCAACATGCTGACACGACAAAAGGCGCACTAAGTAGGAGACACGACGTGAAGACACAACGCGTCCATGACACGAACCCTGAGACCAAGAAGGAGACACAACACACAACACGACACGTGTAATTTCTTTCAAGGGCAGCTACCCAGACTAGAATCCCGCCCTCTCCTTGTGTCTGTTGACACCTCTGTTTGTCGCTGGACCTTCACCCCTCACGTATTACAAGCGTCTTTCGCAGCCCCTGATGATACCAACCAAAGTAGCAGGGGACTTTAGAGCTGCGTCATGCGTCGAGCTAGATGATCTTGTTGGACACCCAAAGTTGACTACCCGTGGGTGAGTGGTAGGAGGCACTCATCATATGGAAACGTATGCTTAAAATTTGCTAGCAGGAAAAGGGCATTAACGCCTACGGAAACATCTTTGGTGGTTCGCGTGATGGTGGTAGGCTGGTGGGTGGTCCTACCTCAGTCATACCGTAGGCAACCACAATCTGTGTGTTGAACAGGTGCGCCATCTGGTTGACAAATTCCTCCCGCACTGAACCACAAGCTCGCACGATCTCATCAGGGCGCAGGCATTAAAGGCTGGGCTCCTGTGGAAGGCAGCCACTGCCATTGCGAATAAAGCGCACGGAATGTCTGGAACGCTCCAGAACCTAACAGAACTGTGGATGCAGAACATTCCGACTTTGCCTTTAACTGTCTGCAGTCTGAAGCCGGTCATGCTGTCCAGACAAGCTGCCTCTCCTCTCTGCTGCTCAATAATCTGCTTGTGCATCTCAGGCACGGCCGTATACCTCGAAGCTATGTGCTCACCAGCAAAATGGCCTAGACATCAAGTAGTGATGCATGCTTCTTACTTAGATGACATGCTCATGAAGCTGGCCAGGTGCCATGTGACCCCGTGTTTCAGGACGATGTTCCAATGATTTCCTGCATTGAACTTGGAGTAGACAACTGTACCTGCCAAGCGCATTGCCCAGATCTGATACAGGCCATGCGGTCTGATAGTTTAGCTGTCGAAACATTGGGTTGCCACGAGGTGGGCGTTCCGCATGAAAATTGTGCATATCAGTGTTGAGGCCAGTGATGCGACGGCATAAAAGCCTCCATGCTCGCCCTAAATGCATGCTTTTCAAGACTGGTTGGACGCAGAGTCAGGATCAATACAGGCCATTTTGGAAGTGCTGGGAAAGACCAGGAAGAAAACTCCAGCGGTGGGTTTATTGCTGCACTGTACTATAACTGTAAATGGCTCCAGCGCAAGCGCACCACCACTGCTCAGAGTGGACAGTAGAGGTGTCACCAAACCACCGACTGTCACCATTGGCTGTGAGATGTAGGTCCTTGAAGTCAGAAGTTATGCAGACATGTCCAGGGTGTTGTCATTCAGCTTTAGTCAAGCGCATGATGTTTGTACTTACCCGGATGATGTGCATACTTCATTCCTGTTAGACTCTCTGAAGTCTGAGGCCTTGGCACGTCCTCTGCATTGAGTTCATACACATCAATGATGGAACTGACTGCCGCCGAAACATTGCTCCTGCATGAGGCAGGGCCGGAATGGCCGTTCTCCTTCCGACTTCTCTTGGACTACTTTCGCTTCAGTAAAGCTGTTGCTTAACCAGAAACGGCAACACACCTGGTAGTTTCCCTAAATAGGGGGACCCCAATATAGACCCCAATATACTATAGTCCTTATTATAGGGACCCCCAAAAAGGAACCCATAATTTTGGGAAACCCTAATCCCTAAACCCTAAACCCTATATATCCCCTATGAACCCCTATAGTCCCTCTAAAGGTACCCCTAATGTTGGGAAACCCTAAACCCCCTAAACCCTATATAACCCCAAATCTGT